GCTGTCAATCCACTGAAACTAAATTAGATGTAGGTCTTTGTGATAGCAAAAGATAAAAAAAAAAAAGCATGAACTTAGTTTTATTGGTATGCCGAAATTGACAAAGTATTATGATGTGGTTTATATACATATAACTCCCATATGCACCGAAATGAGCAAAGCAAGGTGAATTGCGAAAAATAAAATTTGACTAGTGTATTTTGGACCATTCGAATTTTCGAGCTCTTCTAAAATTTTTGCGTTTTTAAATTTTCTAATTTGATTCTCTATTAGGTAAAAAATGAAATATTTTTTTGGCGGATGGATGTATAAATATTGATCTACAATTCCTCAATTTCTTTTTCAAAAGGAAATGAAAATTGATTGGTAGTTTGAAACACTATAATTCTCAAACCTAGACTAAGTTTTAGCATTTCAAATTATCTAATTTTGTTTTTGGATTTACATATAACTATTCTAGTCAATCAAAAAAAATTCCACTACAAATCTATAAAACACATAAAATCCGCCCAAAAAAAAAAATCATTCCACAAGTGGCCAACCAAATTACGACAAAAATATATATTTCATTCCCCAAAAAAAAATTACAATTGTTCGACAAACAAGACACATTTTGTTTCATAAAACAGTGACCACTATGAGTAAAGTTACATACTATATAATCATATACATAAGAGACAAAAGCATAAGCAATAATTAAATTTAGGTAAATTTATAATTAAAAAAAGATTAACAAAGAAAAGCGACAATAATTTACAATCACCACCAAATCTTCACGCCCAAACACAAACAAACAGCAAAAGCCAGTACACTTACCACTAAAAAACCCTCTCATTTTAACAAGTGGGATTAAAATAAAATTAAAAAAAAAATGATACTAAAATACAAGAACTCAATTTCTGATTTCCCCAACAAATTTACTTAAAAATCAATAATTAAAAAAAAAACCAACAATTAACAACTTTTGATTAACTTTAATCAGCTTCGTTCACTTGATCTAGATCTTGACCAGATCGTCTCAAATTCTCAATCTTCCTAACCACTTCAGACATCTCTGGTCTCTTGTCTGGATGCTGTGAAGTACACTCAATCCCTAACTCCACCATCTCCTCCATAATTTCCTCTTCCTCCGCCGCTAAACTAAGCAACTCCGAATCAAAAACCTCTCTTCTCCACTCATCTCTAACCACTGATTTAACCCATCTCGGCAAATCAACTCCTTCCTCATTCATCACCGAATTCGACGGCGCTTTACCCGTTATCAGCTCAAGAACCACCACACCGAAGCTGTACACATCTCCTTTCTGCGAAACACGTTTCGGATCGGTTACTTCCGGAGCACGGTAACCAGTAGCCCGGTTAGGAGTTGTCGCAGAAGCTGCTGCAACGAGCTGGGATAAGCCAAAGTCCGAGACTTTCGCGTCGTACGACTTCGTTAAGAGGATGTTTGAGGACTTGACGTTGCCGTGAGAAGTCGTAGCGCCTTGTGAGTGAAGGTAATCTAAACCACGAGCTGCTCCAAGAGCTATTCTTGATCTTACATCCCAGTTCAGTGGTGTCCTTCCTGCTCCTCTGTTTCCTGTAATTAGACACAAAACCACACAATTACACAAACTAAAGAACCTAAACGAAGTTCACTAAGCATTGATTTGCTATAAAGTTCACTAAGCTAAAGCAAAGGGTTGTGATTTAGAAAACTGACCATGTAAGAGAGCAGATAAGCTTCCCATAGGCATGAAATCATACACAAGAAGCTTTTCGTCTCTACTGAAATAGTAAGCTCTTAATGGAACCAAATTCTCATGATCCATAGCACCAACCATTTCAATCTTTTCCTTCAAATCTTTGTCTGGCATCATCACATCTTTCAATCTCTTCACCGCAACCACAGTAACCGCGTCAAGGACCGCCTTATACGCCGTCCCGAACGTTCCTTTACCTAGAACTTCAGCAGAAGCTCTCAACAAATCTTCAAGATCGAAAACTTTACTCGCATTACCGAAAAACACAAGCTTTTTCCTAGCTGGACCGTTAACTTCCCCTGTTTTCGAGTTCCCGGTCATCGCCGCAGCTGCAGCTGCAGTCACGGAGTATACATTCCCATTCTCCGCCGTCTTATCCCCGGGAATTTCACCTTCTTGCGGTTTGATTGTGGAAATATCAACCGCTCTTGATCTCTGATTACCCTTTTTCCGACAAAGCACCATCAGAATCAGAACAATCAAAGCGAAACCAACCACACATCCGATTACAATTCCGGCAATAGCTCCACCGGAAAGT